AAAATATAGTGTCGCCTCTTGTTTTGTTGCTGACACCACATTGGTCCTCCAGGACAACCACGATCCAGCGGCCAGAGATGCTGAACTACACCCTAAAGGAAACTGAAAAAAATGCATTGATGGAGGGCAGAAATGTTCTACATTAGAGCTGATTCACATGTCAAACAGTGTGTAGTTTTGTATCACATATGCACCTTAATATGCTGCCGTTGCTCTCAACACATTATGTAAAAGCGTTAATTCAGAGATGGGCAATAAAGAATATGAGCTGCTTCAACATGCAGGCATAGCAGCTACATTAGCATACTAACATATTTTTGGTGTTTCTGGTGTTTTTTCATTTAGCAGGATGGTTGGAGTGAATTGTATTTTTTTTCGTCTGTGTGTGTGTTTATGCGTCTGTATACTATTTACTCGTGCATTGCTGCTGCGGGATATCGGTGTCTGTGTGATGGATGCCTCTGACAGTCCCAAGTAGCCCACTGGACATGTTGGCTGTGTGATGTATGCCTTCGCAGCTCTCTGCAGTCCCACTCACACACCACCGCAGCCCACTCTTAAAAAGAAAGATTTAAAAAAAAAAAAAGAAACCCTTTTATGTCTGGAGCATAAAGGTGAGGTTACAGAAGCAGCCATTTTCACTGGCTTTGCTTCAGCTGAATGCGCAGTGTAGTTAAACAGCTGGAGAGCGGCCCGGCCTCCATAGCAGCCCTAAGCAGGGGTCTGTACACGTATTGTCACTTGGCAGTGAAGCTGAGACTTAGCTGCCCATTGTGGGTGCGAGGAGGCGATGCAGCAAAAGAGAGGTCGCAGTTTTATTATTTATTTTTTTGGTTCTTTGATCCGGATCCGGTCTTGCTGTTTTTTTTTCTTACTTTCCTGCTTAGCGGCTCCCTACCTGGAGATAAACCAACAGGAGGAAATGTGAAGTGATTATGTGTTATAAATAGATAAACACGGTGCAGAGCTGGCGCCATCACTCAGTGAAATTCTACTTCTACTTTTAGTATCCCACCCTTATGTCATCGTGGTTTTTAACACCAAAAAGAACAGAAATCTCTTTAATATACTGTATTAGGGGCAGACAAAGCAGCAAAGACTGTAAAACACTCTTGTAAACCCTCCCTTTTTTAAATTTTAAGGGTGTTTCTCTCTATTAATGGATGAGCAGCTGTAACAGATATGCAAAGTGTTACAGTAGTCTCTGATCCTGTAGGCGGGCTCCATACCACATCTAGTAATATGTGGCCTATAATGCACACGTACTAGATGTGGTGTGTTTACAGCGATGGATTTCTTTTGAGCCTTGTTTATAGTCAGCGTGTGCTTAGCTGGAGAAGATTCATAAAATCCCTGCAGAGGTTTATTGTTTAGTGTGCAGGGTGTGGTAAAGGAGTTTCAAACACTCCAGCAGACAGTATTCCGTCTCTTCGGAGCCCTTTGCTAGTTTACGACTTGGTGCTGCTCAGTTTTAAAAGTTTCACTTGTTCTCGTTTGTGTATAAATAGCGCGGTCCTGCCGAGGACGCCGGTTGCCTCCTGACGCCGCCGCAACAGCTAATTGGCGGCCAGGAAGCATTTGCATCAACCTGGCTAGTTGTCATGGCAGCCTTTGTCTTTTCCATGGAAACGCAGGCCGGTTATTGAGAGTGACGGGTGGATTTAGAGCCGTCCGTCAAGAGAGGTTAACGGCGAGAGCGATGTGAGCTGACGTCGGGCTCAGCTGGGGTCATTGGACGGGGGAGCCGGTGGCGGGGAGCGAAAACAGACTGTGGGTTTAACCGGTTGGTTATGCAACAATATTTATTTGCACGGCAGGCTGGAGGACTGTTTTGGATCTCTGCATCACCAGGATCCTTTAGTTTGGTTGCTGTCAGTGGTCAGAACTACACTAGAAGACACTTTAGTCAGGCTATGATGCCTAAACACTAACCTGACACTCTGCTCTTTATCCCCGACCTCTTTAAAGGATCACACATGTTAACTACAAATTACATTCTTAAGCAAGGAACTAGTTTGTGGCAGAATATGAAAAACAAATAACAGATAGTATGTCACTGAACCAGACTGTGACGATGTAAAATGTAGTTTATTTGCATTTCCATCGAATCCTCCATTGATTCCATTCATTCTTGTTGAGCAGCTGACACTTAAATGCAAAATTTCCTTAAATGCGTCAAGGAAAATTGCCTTAAGGTGTCATTAGGGGTGGGCCACCTGTCCAAAACATCATGTGACAGTCTGTTGGGGGGTTAGAGTAACCATCCATGATCTGACTCTCCTCACAGATTTAGTTGACTCACATGATTGGTTGAGTATATGGTTGCCTGGATACGGACCTTGTCATCTGAATTCAAGACTAAATTGCCAACAAATTTGTGCATCCCATCGCTTGATCAGATTGGAATCCGGGGAGTTTGGAGGCTGAGTCAAGGCTTTGGCCTCTTTGTTCCACAAGCTGTTCCTGAGCGGCTGTGCGGTGGAGATCGTTGTCCTGCTGAGGAAGGCTTTTGTCGACGGGAGTGCTCGGTCACATCCACGGGAATGCCAGAACCCAAGTTTTCCCAGCAGAACATTGCACCGTAACGAGATGATTCATGTTTTTTTCTTTTATATCACTTTCAATGTTGTGCCTGCTTGGTGTAAATGACATCAGGCGACTATTCGTTTAGCACATTCGTACCATTGCTCTGTTGTGCGATGACAACATTGGCAGCTCTTTATAATTTTTCTGATTTGTTCCTTTTTTGTAATAAATTCTCTTCCGTCACATGTGGAAGTTGTTTGCTGGGAAACTGCTGAGGTAGTTTTCTTTGCAGATGGCAGATTTAAACACTTTGGCTTTTGCACACGGTCACGCAGAGCCGCTGAAGTGAGCAGTTCTTGAAGTGCAGATTGGTGTGTGCCGTTTGTGTGTGTGTGTGTGTGATTATTTACCCAGTTTGAAAGGGTTTTTTCCGGTGCAAGCCATTCCTTATTAACTGGGGGGCCTCATTGATCGAACTCCATCAACACACAGCAGAGCCCATGAGTAATTGTGTAGAGCATGTGTCTGTGGTGTGAGTGACACAGTGAGAGTGTCTGTGTTTCCTCATGGGCTACTCTAATTTCCCTCAGCATCATGTGGAGTGCAAAGGAAGTTCAGAGAAAGAGAGCGAGCAAGGGCAACATCAGATACATGAAACAAACCGACTACTGTAGTTAGTATTCAGAGTAGCGGTTGGGGGAAAAAAATCAGCCCTGAAACACTTGTAGTCTCGGTAGTGTATTTTGCATTTCTGGCTCCGGTTTGTTGTTTGTGTATTTTTTTTTTATCCCTTAAGTAAGTCTCCGTGAAGTTTCTTAAGGTGACCTTTTCAGTACTTCAGTGTGATAAAACATCAGTTGAAATGCCAGGTTTTTGAAGTCATTCCTTTGGAATCAAAAGAGAAACCCTTCTTTCTGTATTTGCGCTGACATTTTACCTCGATTTTTGATAGTCACGCAGGGAGAAATCCCCCGTATACTCCGCTGCCAGTCGCCTCGGTGGATTTTCTTGCTTTTAAAACCGTGTCCGATTGTGTTTTTTCAGCTCCACAGAAGAGAACAAATCTGCCTGCACAATGCAAAAACTACAATCCTTCCATACAGTTCTGTTTCCATCTGTAAAATGAATCTAAAATGACCTTAGTAGCTGCTCTTGTGATGATCACTGCTCTCAGGTCACAGCAGGAAATGGGAAAACACGTGGTTTGGCTTGTATAGACGTAGTGGCAGCCATTGTCCACCTGAAACATCTACAGCTGATTCAAGCAACCCTCAACATGAGAGCCCTGCTTTAATGAAAGCTTTAATTCACCCCAGCTCTGTGCAGGGCGGTTCTGCTTCTGTCAGCACACACTGTGGACATTGTAGAAGTGGTTTTATCTGCCTCGTAGCGCTGGCGCTTCGTTCATCCAACCTCTTAGTTCAACTAATGGTACTGTAATGGCCATCAGGTCCGGCCCAGCGTTTTAGTGGCACAGAAGGAGAATGTTTTTATGTAAGTGTGTGGCTCGTGGCCTTTTGTTGGTCCGTCCGGTGACTGTCAGCTCAGCCAGCTCCGTGTTCTTACGTTATCTATAAATTGACTTTATGCTGTGTGTGGATGGCAGTACGAGTCATTTGTAAAGGACAGTGTGCTATTTGCAAATGGGTCAATGATTGTATGATGCATCTGGTTCCTGTTTTGATAACAGACGGGGGGTAAAGTCGTTGTATGTATTTAAATAGTTAGATACGTAGGTAATCACGCTTCATTTCTGCACTTCATGTTCCTGCTGGATTCATTGAAGCTTGCAACAACACGGTGATTTGAATCATTTCCAAATATAAAAACTCCACTAATCCACTGCTGGCTTCCCTGCAGCAACTTGTATCTTTCAAAATTAGGTTTTGGAAGTTGGCTTTCCATCGTGCTGCTTGACAAATGAATGAGTAACTGAGTATCCAAACCAGAAATCCAGTTTTGGTTGGTTCTTCGTGGTACAGTACATTCAGTGTACCTAAAATTCATGCACAGACGCCCACGCTACGTGACCCATTAACCATAACAGGGCAGTCTTTACTGTACAGCCAGGAAGTGACGCGGCAATATTCATCGGACAGACGAACGTGTTCTCCGTATATTTTATAGCTTCCATACAGTAACTGCTCTTTGTGCCTAAGTGTTTGTTGCTTCCTCCTAGCACGTGGGCGTACTTCAATTCAACATTGTTGCCTTCATTTGAATGAGTGCTATCTGAAAGGTTTAAAACAGTGGAAGTATTCAACCCCTGAGCAGCTCCACACCGGCTCTCTTGTGCTCATGTTACTCTTTGAGCAGTACGTCGGAGCGAGCCTCTCAGAGTTTGTGTTGTTGGGTTTGAGTTGAGGAAATAGGACCAGCGGGACTTTAGGCGTGACACGATGTTTGCCTCTCTGTGACATGGATAACTGCCAGTGAAAGGTGTTTTGGTGAGACAACACTCAGGCGCCCGCCAACACTCTCATGGCTTTCTTTTTTGAGGCTGTGTGCGCCATTCGGTCTCTGTTCTCCAGCGATGGTAAGCCATTTCACCCCGTGTGTTTGACTGTGCAAGTTTCTCTGCTGTGTTGGATGTGTGTGAGCATGTGGGTCGATCTTGACAGCCTTATGTAGGCCCGCTACACAGTAGTGATGCGTCAGACTGGGGATGCATTGATTTCTCAATAGGCTCTTCCTCCTCTGCAAGTCAGTCCTTTCACTTGACGTTATCTCCGAGTTAATCACACGTCATGTCGAGCTTGTCCCCATTTTAACCCTGTAAAACGTCTGCGTGTGCATGTGCGGGGACTGCTCTATTGAGCAGCAAGAACAGGTTGGAGCCGATGAATCCTCTCCACTGAAAATGCTATTGCCATGGACTGACAGTGCAGCATTGATTTTTATGTTTGTCACGCAAGAGGATTGTCAGGGTGCATTAGCTGACTGAGGCAGCCCACAATTTAGCCTGTCACAGTGTGTGCAGATAAACATGTGCACGTGAGGGCTTGTGTCTCACTGGCTCGTGCACATGTGACTGTTTTGGCTGTGGCAGGGTTTCAGAAGAGGATGGGGAAACAGCAGTGCCACTGATGGATCTCTGATTGGATGGTTAAATTGGAGCTTTTGCTTTATTGTTTGAGAGAAAAGTAAGAAACAGTGTAATGGTTTTCAGTGTGATGGGTGGCTTCAGTAACTGTGTTTGTGAAAAGGATTATAGATCAGTAGTTGTGTGACAGACACATAAAGATGAAGTAATTCTTTGCACCAGCGGATATCAACATTAGAAAATCATGTGTCACATACTGATGCAGGTATTATGACGTGTTCACACGAGTTTTTACAATCGCTGCTGACAATATGATATCATCAACTTACTCAATAGGCTGCGATCTCTGATAACTTGTGCGTGAATCCACAGAAGCATCGTACTGTATTACTGCATATTGTTAAATCCTCTAAGGGGAAGAGGAAAAGCATGTGTGACTGGAGTTTCACCTTTGAATGCAGAAGTGTTGTGGGAGCAGTACTGAGCAGAATATTTCGATTCAGGCACTGATGCTCTGTAGCTGCAGGAGTTGAAAACCACCTTCCTGGCCTGGGAATCCATCATGCTGTATATCCTGCTGTGCTGTAATTAACATCTGCGTAACAGAATTTCCCTACGGAAGGGCATTTTGTTAAATTACACATCATTTAACAAATAAATCAATGAATGAACACACTGAGCCTGGTTCTTCCTGGGGTTGCGTCTGCTGGGAAGTTGATCAACTGGATGCCACCATGAATGACCTGTGCTGTAAACTCAAACTTCATTTTAAATGAAACATGTCTGTACAGAAGCAGACTTGTAGCTTTTGAAGTTGGGTGTTTTCCTGACATGAAACCTGTGCTGTAGTTATGACATTATCCTTGAAGGTCTTAGTTTGACCCTCTGAACCCCAAAACCTAACTGTAAAAACCAAAAGAACTGCCTTCAGTTTTTCCAGCTGTCCTTGAATGTATCATGTGTGACGCACAGTTCCATCAGGAAAACATTCCATCAAAATCAATCACTTATGTAATTATATATTTTTAAATGAGACATATGCAGTTTATAAAAATGTTAATAGTAATGTATGACTAGCATGTGGAGTAATTTTCTTGATATTGGTGGTAATACCTTTGGGCACTTGTAATGTAATAAGTATTGATTCCATTTTTTTTCTTCATTTTTTGTCTATTTTTTGTCTATCAAAGCGTTTTTGTTTTTGTCTGTTTTTGTAAAGAGTAACCTCATTTATGGCATTGGACTTTGTTATCCTGCCGGGAAGACTTTTTTTTTACGTTCTCTCTACTTCTAGCTGTTGTGCTGTTTGTAGAGGTGCAGGATTTTATATTGCAGTGAAAAATGCAAGGTGGCTCAGTGGTTAGCAGTGTCGCCTCACAGCAAAAAGGTTGCTGGTTCACGTCTCGGCGAGGACACCCGGGATCTTCCTGCGTGGAGTCTCCATGTTCTCCCCGTGCAGTGTGGGTTCTCTCCGGGTTCTCTGCCTTCCTTCCACAAGGTCCAAAATCATGTTGAGGTTAATTGGTGATTCTAGATTGTCGAAGGTGTGAATGTGAGTGTGCTTGGTTGTCTGTCTCTAGGTGTAGCCCTGTGACAGACTGGTTACCTGTCCAGGGTGTCCCCTGCCTTCACCCTAAGTCAGCTGGGATAGACTCCAGCCCCCCCCGACCCCAGTGAGGATTAAGCGGTGTACAGATGATGGACGTATGGGCTATGCCTGAAATGTCACTGATACTGAAATGCCCCGCTGCCTTGCACCTTCAGAAGCAGTTGCTCATGGAGCATTTTTTTTTGCACCACGTGTGGCTATAATCTGACAGTTCTACTGAATACATAACCTTCATTTCTGTCTCTTTAATCTCTCTGTCAGGTCTTAGTCTGATCTCATCACTGAAAGGCGAAGCAGCAGCACCTCAACCGAGCAAATTAGACAGTGTCACAGTCGCCCTGTCTTTTGTCTCTTTCTCTCTCTCTGTCTCGCATTATTACGGCTAATCAGGGATGATGAGTAGAAATAATGACCACTCAAAGACCAAATTGCTCTCAGAGTGATTTATACAAACACAAAATGCCTCTAATGACACAAATTAACAGGTTAGCGCACAATGCATACAAAGTCAATATTAAATAAGCAAATGCACGAGAGCTCAGGCAACTGTAAGTAAGCACAGAAGCACGTAGAGCCAAAGAGCAGAGTGTACATCCAGCCCACTTGCTCTGCTTTGTCTCCACGGCTCCAGCTCTGTGATGGACTGGCTCTCTGCTCAGCACACGACGGACTATAGCTCTGAATGGTTTCTGCCGCCTATTGATGTTTATGCAAGTAGAAATGAATCTTTGTAAACGAGAGAAAAGACCTTAGTGCTCGTCTAGACTGGAGTATTTTTCTGTCTACACTATCATCCATCCATCCATCCATCCATCCATCCATCCATCCATCCATCCATCCATCCATCCATCCATCCCTCCCTCCCTCCCTCCCTCCCTCCCAGCTCACAATTAAGCTTCAAAACATCAACCTTGAGCTGGGAGGAAATCTGAGGATTTGCAGACACTGTTCAGCGCTGTAGCAACCAGGCCAACATCTTGGAGTTCCCCATTGTTCTCTGGTGGTCACATACACTCGCACAACTTTAGTAGATTAGAACAAATGAGTCTGACAGGAAGCCAGAAGGTGTTCAGAAGAATCGCAGAGGGAACAGATGGGAGCAACAGAGGAGAGGGAAAAAGCACGCATGCTTGCCTATTGGAGGAGCAGATTCTTTTTATGGCATGATCATGAGCACAGTTGGAGTCAGACAATAGACCCCCTTCTTCACCTTCATGTCCTACTCGTGTCATCATGCAGCACTTTTGCATATCAGTGTTTTCTGATCAGCAAAGACCCAAATGCACCATTTGTCATCTGTTTGCCTGACAGCTACAAATACACCATATGCCAACTGTGACTTTCTGCGGTCCACACATATACTTGCATGCAAATAACAGATGGAGAGGGGTTTTTTTTGTTGTTGCTGTTGTTGACTGGCAGGTGGGTGGTCCAGTGTCTGTGGGTTATGGTGCGTGTTAGTAGGTGACAGACTGCCAGTCTAAGCGCCCAGCAGTATTAGCTTGATGGTGCGTCTCATCCCAGCGGGGATTGACCCCTGCTTTTATTTTTCAATTAGTTTTCATCTGTGTCTCATTAGAGTTGTCTTCCTCACACCCCCTACGCACACACGCCAGCTTCAGCACATGTGTTTCTGTGCAGTGATGGCAAATTGATGCACAGTTTAACTGACTGATTGTTTATGTGAGTGTGTTGTACCGTTGTGGTGCTCAGCCCATATGGGTTTACAAGATACAGTCGTGACTCGATAATCTGACCCTTAACAATCTGAAAACGTTGCTATCTGACAGGTTTTTAGGAAAACGAACAGAACCCATTAAAAACAGCCTCAACATACCGACAGCCTTGGATTCTGACTTCGACATGACATTTAATGTCACCAATCAGGACAACGGCGTATTATCTGACTGAACAATCCCGCAGATTGGCTACGTTCACACTGCAGGACTTGATGCTCAATGAGGATTTTTTTGTGAAATCCGATTTTTTGCAAGTTCATTCACATTTCCAATTAAATACAACTTGCATGTGATCTGCTGTGTGAACTTCATACGACCCACAAGTGTCCCGCATGCGCAGAAGAGGACACGACGACGTCACACGGAGCGAGCGTGCTCAGCCGCCACCGCCGGCGATGGTGGAAACAGAACTGTGACCACTAACTAAACCGGCATCAGCAGCCAAGTACTGCCTGCAAATTCTGGCCACTTCCACCCCGTCAGAGTGCTCCCTGGGGTGAAAGTGGTCCTCCCGACTGTGCCGAATATTCGGATATTCATCATTAATTGGGACTGAATATTCAGAGACCAGAAAGTGCTATTGGGACCAGTCCTACTACTATTATATTACTTTTAATGTTATTATAACAACTATGAACAATAAATTTGCCAACAAATGAGCCTTCAAGCATCAAGCCCTCCTTGTATCTCGACCTCCATCTTGACAATCCGACAGTCTTGCTATCCGACATAAAACAAGGTTTTACGTTTAGTGTCTGATTGTTGAGTCACGACTGTACTTAAAGGGTTCTTTATGCAAAATTCAGGACCGCTGGGGAGATAATTAGCCTCTCACACCAAAACAAACAAGTGCATTCACCACACCTCCCCCTCCTTTAACTCTAACTGACAACCAGAAAAGGTTGTGCACACGACAACCAACACAAAATGATCCATCCACAACCATTAGCCAACGCTAGCATTGTAACATACAGCGGAACATTGTCTTCTCTTCAGCTGTTTGTAGGAAGAGACACACGTGTAGAAGAGGAGAATCGCAGTGAGCTCAGATTAACAAGTGTAAATAAATTAGGGAAATAGCATCAATCATATTTGTAGGGCACCGGCTAAATGCTGGACCGGACTTTCGATTTTCTAGTGCGGTATGGGAGGTCACCCCGTTTGTAAGTGCAGACAACGCCAACAGTTTCAAAGGAAGGGACTCAACGTGCAATAAAATGCTCTAACGTGCACATGCATCCAGATCAGCTGCCAGCACACGGAACAAAGAAGCTCAGATTACCACACACACACACACACACACACACACACACACACACACACTCACACAGGGAGTATGATTTCAGTCTCTGCTGAGGTACCATTACTCTACTGTATCTTCACATGGCAGCTAAATGCTCTATTTATGTTCAGAAACTATCGTATTGTACCACTAACAACAACCTGGATGACCACATGACAGATCATAGTACAAAGTTCCTCAAATTCCAAGAATTTAAGAAACACTCAGTGTCCACAACAGAAGTGCCCTTTTATATTGAATACATGGTCCTCTGTCTCAGCTGCAAGGCGTCTTCTGCCAATCATAGTACAAATACTTTATAATGAACATTTCAGACAAACAAAACAAACCAGGATTCTCCATTTGAATCTTATATGCATTTAATCAAGTCACTGCAAAAAGAGCAGCAGAACATAGATCATCCTCACCACCAACATCACAAAAAACACACAAATGACCATCTTTAAGAATACCTTTACATAAACTGACTTTGCACAAGTGACAGTTGTTACTGGACCACACATGGACCTGCGTATTCTCTGTAAATGTCATTTTATTTCAGATTCTATTTCGTAGTCATCTTTAATTTTAATGTAAGTTCAGAATTCTGTGTTTCATTGTTCCTCCTAAAACAATATATATATTTTACTATATTCGTGTAATATTCCTGATCTGAAACAGAAAATATTGCGCCCGCCTCCCTTAACCGAGAATAATTGTGTGCACGACTCCAATTAAAGACCTTTTTGGTTCTCCTTTCTTCTGGCAACTGAACAAGGCGGTTTCAAAACCTCACCAGTTCACCTCTCTGCTTTATAAGACGTGGCTCCCGTCCCATTTCCCCCTGAGCAGCTCTCTCAGCAGTACGTTTATGCACCGAGAGGAAGCACCTCATGGCTTGTTTCTGGATTGCATTATTGACTTATTTAAAGCGGTGGCATGAGCTCAGTGCAGGTTATATGCAGGCAGATAGGCACACCTCCACACCTCCCACATAACCGGCTTTTCAAACGTTTGGTTGTTTTTTCATCAGCCAACTATTTTATGTTTTTTTCTTGTTACACAAGCGTTAGGGCATGTATTTCTCTCATCTAAGTTCATTTAAAGAATGCATTGTATTGTTGAAAAGTTAACCCATCTATAGTTACTGTGTAAGCCAATGCTGTCAATAACTGCATGTTTGAACTTTTTAATTACTCAGCTGCCTTTTTATATTTTCTTACTTTTTCATGACAGCATGTGCTGTACTTTGTGGTTGGTTATCACCATCAATTACTGTTCAGCCTTCAAACACACACCTCTCCTCTCTGATAGAAGATGTCAACCCAATATTCTCTATCTGACACAGCCTTTTTATATCTCCCTCTGCCTTTTTGTTATTCCATTGTTTTCTCTCGCCCGCCTTCTTTCATGGGCAGGACAGGAATCATTTCAGAGTCAGCGCTGCTCCCTTCCACTGGAGCTGTCACTGCCGCTCAGGCCCCGGCGCCAGCGTTGTCACAGGACATGAATTTCGACCTGAATACTGACACTAAGCCTAATACATTAAATGTCAAGACTGTGGTGACACAATTTTTTCAAAAATATGCTTTGTTTTTCTGTTTTCAGCAGCATTTGAAAACATGAACAGAGGAGGAGAACAGCTCCATTTCTAGTGTGTTTAAAGAGGGATAGAAAAAGAGATGCAACATGAGTGCAAGCAAACAAACAGACTCCATGGAAACTGTAGCGTTTTACTACAATATCTGAAAGCAGTAAATGCATTTTTTCCTTAACTGAAAAAAGCTTCTTAGGGACTCTTGTATGTCATACTTGAGGTGGAAATCGGAGGTGTTTTGTGCCGCTGGCTGGATGTAAAATGACAATATGAAGATGTCAGAGAGGCCATACTGCAAGGTTTTCACTTTACAACAAGACAGTGTGCCGTACAGGATTAAATCCACCTCGATACCACATCTGAAACACATTTTAGACAGTGCAGGATTGGAATTGTTGATGTAGGAGTTTATAGTGAGCAAGACTGTACTGTGCGTTATTAGTGGCAGACTGACTGTCTTGGCACAGATCGGACCAGAGCTGTTCCTCCGTTGTTGTGTTCAAATCTGATTTCCATTTCTTTCTGGATTTGTACAAATCTGGCTCGGAGCCTCTTTTCAACAATAACAAGTACAGTTTAGAATTAAATTCATGTGCACTTTCCTCATGAAACACCACAGACACACAATTAAACTGAAGCATCCTAAACACAGGGCTTTATTGATATATTGCTGGACCATACCAGATATTTTTTAGCGAGTTGATGCCGTTGAGCTTTTTTTTACCAGCTACTACAGTCCACAGTCGCATGTCAGCCTGTGATTGTGTGAAATTCCATCCCACATGCAGCATGAATAGTCTCCAGATATATCAGCTTTCATCGCAGCCGTTCTTCTTGTGTTTTTGTCATATCTGGAGCACAAGTACAACGGAGCCCGTATAACGTACTTTCTTCTGTCATGGTTCAAGTTATTTTGCACGAATCCCTGCACAGCTAACAGAAATAGTAGAGTGTAATAGGTAGATCCAGTGGTAGAAAATGCCTTTGGGGAAATGCTGGGTTGTTCTTAATGGTTGTAGAGTTGTTCCTGTGACTCACTGGAGAGATGGCCTTGTTCTTCGCGGTCAAATGCTTACCGGCATCTCTCTCTCTCTCTCTTTTTTTTTTCTCCTTTTCATCTCTCCCTCTCCCTCTCGCTGTCTGTCTTCCTGCCCGTCCTCCAGACTTTAACTACAACACAGATGGCTACGAGGGAGACGGAGCAGAGGACGGCAAGTCCCAGGACGGCTCGGAGACGCTGCCCTACATAGACGAATCGCCCACCATGTCGCCCCAGCTGTGCGCACCTCAAGGGCCCGATGGAGAAACGGTGTCCCCCACACCACCAGAGGGCCTGCCGCCTGGGGTAAGAACACACACACAGACACACACAAGCACACACACACACACAGAGGAATTTAGTGGCAGTCGTCCTCGCTTCGACTTGTACACAGAACTTCATATAATTGGACAGCAGAATAATGTGACAGATGGGAGAGAGAAGAGATGTTTCCAATTGTGATTATACGCTAGATGACTGATTCTCCTCCTTAAGTTGGAGATGTAGAAATCCTCACGTAGTTTTGTAGGTTTTAGCTGATCAACTATAACCAGTTTAGTAGTAACAGCATCTTTATCCAACGTTATTAGACTGACCTCCTACACTAGAGTGAGTTTGAGTTTGTTATTATATGAAAAGAAACATCAGGTAGGTTGAACTAAGTCAGTGGTGATTTGATTATCAGATGTTTTTGTTTACATTTGGTCTGCATTATGTTGTTATTGCTTCGTAATGCAGTTGTATATTGACTGTTACAGTAAGCGTTGCTGGAAAGTCTAGTGTTTTGCACATGAGAGCATTTCCTGTTTTTATGCAAAAACACTTTTGGCCAGGATCACATTATGCTTGCTTCTCTCAAATGTCAGACATCCGTGCTTCTTTTAAAGGATAGTTTCATCATTTTTGTACGTGTATCTTATACAATACTCATCGTATGTACTCTGAAAGAATTATTGGTCACTATGATTATATACTGGTTCTGCAGAGACAGCAAACGATGGGGTACAAAATTCACAGAAATCGTTTTAGCACAGTTCTATTTCTAGACCAAAATCTATATATTTCAAGTTCAGGAATTGAGTAAAATCAAGATGGTATCTTCCTAATTTGGTGTTTTAATTGCCAAATTGACAGTGTTTTCCTGCTAGGCTGCACTGTGGGGATACAATAAGAACACAATAAAGGCATTTTTTACCAACCGAAGAAACAATTACAGAAAATGAACATGAGTATGTACATAAGTGTTGTTGTTGGACAAACTTAAAAACCCCCTCTGATGAAATTTGCCTTGTTAATACTGTATGTCAGTATATTGTTTTTAATTTGCTGGATTTGCATCATGAAAAAAATAACCCGTCAGTACCATGGCTGAGCATTTCCACCTTAAAAAAAGAAAATAGATCTGTATGTTCTACAATAGGAGCTGGGTGGTTAGCACTGTTGCCTCGCAGCAAGAAGGTCGCCGGTTCGCGTCCTGGTGAGGACACCCGGGATCTTTCAGCGTGGAGTTTGCATGTTCTCCCCGTGCAGCGTGGGTTCTCTCCGGGTTCTCCAGCTTCCTCCCACAATCCAAAAACATGTTGAGGTTAATTGGTGATTCTAAATTGTCTGTAGGTGTGAATGTGAGTGTGCTTGGTTGTCTGTCTCTAAGTGTAGCCCTGTGATAGACTGGTTACCTGTCCAGGTGAACCTGCCTTCACCCTGAGTCAGCTGGGATAGACTCCAGCGACCCTAGTGAGGATTAAGCGATGTATAGATGATGGATGGATGGATAAAACTCTAAACATGTGACTCAGAAAACATGAGTTTTTAGGGGTGTGAGAAGTTAGAGGAGTCTTCAAACAATCCCTGTTTGCTCATATTACCATATGATGCTGATATAGCTTTGACCAGAACTTACAGTAACCGTAAGTACATGTTCATTATTATATAAATACATTATTTATTACACAACTGAAATGAAATCCTATTATTAGACATTGAAATTTAGACCCTAGCATTCTGAAGTATAATATAATAAAAGCTGATATTCGTTAAGCTAGCGTTTCTCCCTGTTAACAGCTGTAGGAGCTACACCTGGCATGATTTTACTCCAGGATCGTGTGCTTTATTTCTGGTCTGCTGATCATCTCTTCCCGGAGTTGGCCGCCGGATCCTGACCCTCTGTAATTGTTAACGATTAGCCACAATAGCTGGACTGCCTGCAGCGCACTGCAGGTGGTGCATTCACAGCAGCAGGAAATGACCACTGACCCAGATGGGCTCGACGCCACCAGCAACAATCTGCCAGTCTGAGTGTAAATGGGGTGCGTTGGAGGACTGCGTTCGTCCTCATAGTTGCTGACGTTTGAAACTTTGATGCTTTTTGAAATAAAAACTGGTCACTGCGTTCAGCATCATTCGTCACTCGGTCCACGTTCAGAGTTTTGTAACGGTGGATTTTCACTTCATTACTGAACATCTGCAGTGTAAAATTTAGAAATTGGATAGAAATGTTTCTTGAGTTTATTCCTTCACAGCAGTATGTCGAGAAGAAAAAAAACATTCCTCTTCTGTTTATTGCAAATGAGCTGCTGCTGCTGCTGCTGCTGGAAATATGAAACACTTGCTGTTTTCTGTGGGTCTTCACACTTGAGTCCTAGCAGACCCCAGGCTCTTAGAACAGCTGACGCAAAAACTCTCATGAAATGGAAATTCAGTTCATCCTCCTCATTGTGTTCATTTCTGATGTAGAGTTCTTAATATATGCTACTTCCATAAAGATGCTGACTGATTTCTGTATGTATGTATCTGCGGCGCCTGTCACTCCGTCCTCCATATCAGTGGGGTGGAGGTTAGCAGTGCTCTCTTCATGCCCGGCGGCCGAGCGCATGTGTTTGTATGACTGTCACTGTGTCCCCTGTGTGACCACTTGCGTGTGAGTGGGTGCTCCAGCACCCTGTGGAGGCTCAGCGGGAGTCATGTTGACCCTGACCTGAACCGACCCTCACACCCACTGACACTCGTAGACAGAGAGAAAGATGCTGGCAGGCGTTCACAAGCATCCCAGCAGCTGCTATGCACAGTATGAAAAAGCCTGAGTGGTAACTACAGACTTAGTGTTTGTGATTTTACACCGTCTAGAGGAATATACTGTTTCTCTATTGTACACACTGAGCAGATATTAAGAGTTTACCTGGACTAGATTTCCCCATGTCATCATTTTTATTGTGAATATCAAACTCACTATTCACTCTCCATTATTTGCTTTTTAAATCTGCCCGCTGTCTGCCTCATTGGCTCTGCTTTCATCTTGATTCTGAGCTTTATCGCTGTACGATCGCAGCGTTGTCGATAAACTGTGGCCTTGATCGTGGATCTCCTTGTAATAGAGATAATTTATGAATTATTAAGTTGTTATTCTGCTGTGTTTATAGCGATTCACTCTGAGCTCGGGTCAGCGCACGTAAATGAAAATGTGTCTCCATCTAGTGGCAAGCTGGGGTAAGAACAGAGGAGATGACTTTATTTTGGAAAACCACTGAAAATGTAATAAGGTTTGCAAAGATTACTTCTGCTGGAGGATTGGTTGCAGGAATAGAATCCTGTTAATGAGAATTTATATCTTTAAAAATGCAATCCGCCATAAGAAACAAATGCAGGGCAAGTCATCGGTTGCTTTCAAATACAGAGAATTTAGTTTCTCTTCATAAATAAAAAGTCTTGTAGGTGGAGCAAAAACTAATTTAAACCGTGTACTGACTGTGTTTGGTTTGCAGGTCCATTTACGGTTAAACATGCCTGCTGGTTTGAGCTCATAGGGGTTTCGTTAGGGCACATTTTAATCCTTCCACCTCTAAGAAACCATCGTTGCTTCCATATTTGTCGTTTTTAATTGCATTTTAGTGTTTAGAACTCGTGCATCTGTGTCGCCCCACTCCAGTAGAAACTGAGGAAAAGCAAAGTACTCGGTTGCATTGCATCCAATAGTGGTGGGATTTTTTTTTTTGCATCTCAAACACAGATAATGTACAGAAAGTTTTGAACATGAGATTATAAAATCAAGGGGTTTATATCTTACACTAAAATAAAATATCATTGACTAGAAACTACCTGCACTTTAAAGGTGCTAGTTCCCAGAATAAACGCCACAGTGGACATGAGAATAAAGCCAGTCGTACGTGTGTGTTGACTCAGCAGGGATGGTATTAAATGAGCAAAGTTGATCCTCAGCAGAATAAATATTTGGAAGCAATACGGCGTGCCTGAGAGGCTCACTACATTCTATTCTAATATATTTAAAATTGTTCCCTGGTGGCTGTATTTTATGTTTTCCTTTTCATAAATAAAACATTTTCACCATAAACTGATGCAAAGAAAAAAACAAAAAGGTGCAAATTGGTGCATAAAAATTCACCGGAATGCAGGAAGTGTAGTGTCTGATATTGAAAATGTTCAGGGGAAGAATCCTCAGACGCAACCACGTAATGCCGTGATTGCTTCCACAATATTGGGGAAAAATGTAGAACTAGTTAATCTAGATTTTTAGTGCTAATGGTGTCTCCTCTATACAGTAAGCACAGTTTTTTGATTGTTGAGTTTCCATTCCAATTTCTACTTTTAAAGTTAACTTGCCAGCATATTAAATTTTGAAGAAAAGCCATTTTTTAATGTGTGGTTGGTACAAAAGTTGTCCATTCTGTGTTAACAAGCTGAGTCAGACCAGTTGCTACGAGAGACCCAGATGCCGCTGCCTCTCGGACTCTAAAGGTCTTTCCACGTCTCTCCTCACGCCCTCGTTAAGTCGGCCTCCCTTTCCGCTGTGTTTGCACACGCCTTTCATCTGCTAACATGAAAACGCTGACACCTCCATGCTAAGATGTGCAGCATGTTGTATGAAAGTATACACTGCTAAGAGTCTTCGGTCTGCTGTGTTTTAGTTTATGTTGTTTAAGGAGTCTCTGCTGTTTCTCCGCTTTATAAAGTTTCTCCTTATTCAGCTTTACAGAGTAAGGACAGAGGGTGTAGAGTGATTTATTTTTTTACATGCTTGTAATTTTCTGCTTGTTCCATTGTGTCCTTTTCTTTCTTATGTCCTCCTCTTTTTTTTTTACTGACCTTTTAATGGCTTGTAATGGTGCTGACCTAGAAATCGAAGCCACAAGCCTAAATTTACTCCTATTTTATCTTCCCAACACTCATCCAAGTCTCTGGCTTGTAAAATAAGTGTGACCTACATAGTGTGGGCTAGGAGGTTAGAACCTTGAAGAAATAGCCCAGATTTTGCATCATATGCCTTTTTAAACGGCCCACGCAAATCACAGAACTAAAATCCTGAGCCAGACAACAAGAAAGAAGAGGTTCCTACTGTCGAGCAGCGGTGGGTGTCACTTCCTGTACACCCTAAGGTCAGGATCAGGGTGAGAGGCCACAGACAGTGAACCGTGCTCATTCATAAAAACACACCAATGTTGAGCTTTGACATATTCTTGGTTTCATTTAATTTCTGGTATCCGAGGTTATTGATTTCCTAGCGTGTCTCGATGCACACAAGCACCTTTTTTATTTTTTATTTTTAAACGCTATCTCTGTGCTCTGCCTTTGAAACGCCTCTAACTATACGGCCTGTGAACTATGTGACCTGTAATTGGAATCAGCCGCGCTAGCAGCACATTAGCTGGTCCCAGTTCAGCATCCAAGACTCTCAGCGGATCAATAGAGACAATGGCCAGAGAGCAGGAGGAGGAGGAGGAGAGAAAGAAATCAGCTCGGTAGCAGGCAGTGATGAGAGAAAGAGGGAAACTGTGTGTTTGCGTGATGAGGAAGTGGCTTTTTGCTCACAGAGAACGGAAGACAATTAAAGAAGAGATGAAGAAAATGAAGCGGAGTGACTCTCCCGCTGAAGCACAGAAAGAAAACGGCTTGTGCAGCCATCAAGGAAGTGGCTGGATAGCATTATTTGTGAGGGGAGGGGCGGATGTAGAGGGGAGGGCAGACCTCATCGACCGAGGTGGAACAGTGGCTCGCACACACAAACACCAGGAAGCCCGGCAGAGGAAGGGGGTGGGGTTGTGTAGGCGGGGTCCTCTCTCTTTCTCTCTCCCTCTCTCTCGGCGTCCAGACGACTTGCTCTGAAGGGAAAACACTGATGTGTCCAGGCAGGCCCTGAAGACGGGAATTTGGAGGCCGAAAGAGGAGAGGAGGAGGAGGTGAAAGAAAGAGGAAAGAAAGAGCCATGGAGGAGGAAGAGGAGGAGGTGCTGTGCTACTTGGACAGGGTGCTGGAGGAGGAGGAGGAGGAGGAGGGGATGTTTGAATATGGAGATGGGGAGCTGGAGCCCATCACTCCGACACATAGACAGTTCAAGGTGAGGCAGGGGCTGGATAGCTGGATGCAGGAAAAACACACACACACTTACACATATCTACACTTTTGCAATGCTAACACTGAGCAGGCTTTGCTATACATAGCACAGTGGAAAGTCCTACTTGGAGCCTTGGTGCGATGTGGCGTCACTATGTGCTGCCCCACGAGCCATCTGTGCTGCAAAAAGTGTGTGTGACAGCCATCGGTGTGTCAGCGAGGCCTGATGAGGCTGCAGCACATGTCTCTTCACTCTGCCGCTCGTTGAGGACGTCTGCTTTCTGTTTCTCATGCTAACTTCTGTCTTTGTGTGTTTGTTTGTGTGCTTACACTCCTCCCAGTAGAGGCTGTTTTACGCCGTTGCCGGTCACTAATGATATCAGCTCTGTTGTCACACAGAGCGAGGGCACACTAGGAAAGCATGCAGTGTGTTTTTTTTTTTTATATATAAACCTGATTTAGAAGTCCACTCACAGGAGCAGGTTGCTGTGGAAAAAATCCCTTCACCGCTCATGTATTTCTCATCTTGCCCTCTCGCCACACAGTAGCTCTTTGTACAGCAGAGGGAAAATATTCTTTTTCCTGTCTCTCTCTCTTTTTTTCTTTTTTCTTCGTCTTGCTGTGACATATTTGTTACTGAAGGAGTGAGCTGAGCATGTCTCCAACACTTTCTTGTTTAGGTAAGGGTCAGGGCACCTATGGTGGAAGCAAACAAACAAAAAGCTATTCAAAATTGTTAGAAGTACCTCTGGGGTGTAGTTTCAGTAAGAACACGGTGAGTTGTCCTGGAGATGTTTTGTATGTTTGCGGTGCTTAAAATAAATGATGAGCAAGAGCAGCACGGCTTGCATATCAAAGATGCATCTTTCGGTTTCAAAAGTGTGGCCCATTTCTACTGAAGCTTTAGTTTCTTTCAAGGAATTAAAACAGACTGAGAAGTTGCATCTCAGAGGCTCAGTTCTTAAGTAACTTACTGAGAAAATAATGTAAATTCTAACAGAAAGCTGGAGACTTGACAGATTTTCCTCCCTTAAAACAGTTTGACAGATCATTTCTGAATAACGACAACCCTTGTTCTTCTTTTGATTTCACTGTTGCTTGAGAAAAGTGCCAGTCAGACTGAGATCAAGCATCAACGCTGTGATTATCACAGAATTTTCAAATGTGACTTGAAATAGGCTCTTTGAAATCACTAAAACATGGCTCTAAAAGTTTATTATTTGTACTGTATGTTGTGCATTTTGTATGTGAATAAGTTGAACATATAAGCAGCTTTTTTTTTTAATGCCAGAACTAATCCTTAATAGTTTTTGAATTAGCAGTTATAAAGTACAACTCTATACTGTCCACGTGCTGTAAATACTGTCCCCCCGTCACACAGCAGAGCTTCTGTCTTGAGGGATAACATCAGTGTCAGCAGGTGGATGTCGGCCCTGATTGGGTTAAAACGATGAGGTCATGGCTCCTTCCTTGTCTTATCAGGCGGTACCAGTGTGCTGATATCATTGTAAGGACCTGCCTGTGTTAATAATTAATCTTTCTCTCTGCTCTCACTGCTTGTCTTTGGCCACCCTTACAGTACATGCAACACTTACTTACGTGTCACTTTCTCTGGTTTATTACCGTTTGGCTGTGGACATGCCTTTCTACAGAATAAGGGGCAAAGATGAAATGATTGCGTAAATAGCTGCTTTCTGAATGAAATGCAATTAAGATTTGCAGTTTTATAGAGCAGGAAGGTTTGAATGAGCATGAGTATCTTTCACGCTTATCAATTGTTTTGATCAGCAACTTTTTAAAATGTGCTTTATGAATAAATTGGCCTGAGCTGGCTGGCTTAGATCGCAATATATTAACACCATTCTTACCATTTACAGCGTAAATCGTAATTAATACATTCACACCTTCACATTTTCATTTTTGCTTTGCTGACTACATGTAAGAAGGATGTTAGTGTGGCTTGGTTAGTGCATACTCATGTGTATTATGACGAAAAATCAGTAAGTCAGGTACACTGGACATGTAGAACTTGAATCAAAGCGGCTATGATGTGCCTTGGTCTCTATGACAGGGATCTCCATCTCTGGTCCTCGTGAGCTACTGTCCTGCAGGTTTTAGATGAACACACCTGTCTCACATTAATGGATTATTAACAGACTTGTGTAGAACTTGACAACAAGCTGTTGGAGATCCATTAATGTGAGTCAGGTGTGTTGCAGTACGGAAACACCTAAAACCTGCAGGACAGTAGCTCACGAGGACCGGAGTTGGAGATCCCTGGTCTAGTGATTGTCTTCTCACAGTCCATGATTGACGCTGCCGTTCATAGGATCGTTGACAAACAAGGAAACGGATCTATAGTCATGAGAAAAAGTAGGGAAACAGTTGGCTTTTTGACTTTTTACAACAAGCAACAACTGCCAGCTGAGATGACTTGGACAACTGATCCGGATTCTCATGAATGAGTTCTTTTGGAGGTTTTCTGTGTCAAACTAGGAGGAGGCCCAGGGGTAGAGGCAGACACACTGAAGGGATTACACATCTCCTCTGGTCTGGGAACACCGTGGGACCATCCCCGAGAAGTAACTGGAAAACACTGCTGGGTAGAGGAACATTCAGAATGTCCTGCTGCCCGACTCTGGATAGATGTCAGAACACGGATGGATGGATTGAAACAACAATTTTTCCACGGCCTGCCGCCACTGCAGATTCAGCCGCATTTGAAGCCAAAAAGAAGTGGTTTCAACTCTGAATTCTGTACAATATCACAGAGTTGTTCAATAATGCAGGGCCATCTGTCTGACAGTTGAACCAGAAGAGAAGCTTTCAACAGGATAATGATCTGAAGCACACAAGCAAATCCACCAAGGAATGGCTCAAAAAGAAGAAATGGACTGCTATAAAATAGCCTAGAAAATCCTATTGAATTGTTGTGAAGGGGGAATCAAAAAGCAGCTGTAATTGAGGAAACCCTCAAACATTTTGCAAGTGAAGCATTTTTTTTTTTTGGTGGAAGAGTGGTCAGAAATTTCAGCAAAGCCACTGTGGAGTGGTGTACAATTATGCAAAGAAGTTGCAAGAAGTTTTTTTTTTTTTCTGCCAAAAGAGGAAGTACTGGTTTCTGACTCCACGGGTACCTTTTCCACAGAAAAATATTCAACCTGTCGATATTTTTGTGAAACAAATGATTGAAAACCGAATATTCCTTGTGTTTAAGTGATTCACCTTTATCATTAGGCGCTGTGGCAAAGAGGATCAAACGTTTGCTTGACTAGATATGTTAAAAAAACAAAAAAAAAGGCCAAGAATTTCCCTTAGATGTGCTTCTTTTTCACATGAATCATAGAAAACCAGTGTTTTCAATGATTATTTTGAAAAGAAGCAGCGAAACTGTTCCTTTTTTTCCCACACTTAAATACTTTTGTTGTCATTTTTCTTGTCTGCAAAAATGTGGAGCTAAAAGAACGAGTCTGTCTTGCTTTGGTCTCGTTTCATGTTTCTCAAACAGGGCGACGACTTCCCTGATGTTGAAGTCAAAATACAGCCCATGCCTGGAAGCAGTAGGAATAAGACTTTCCAGAGAGGAAGCAAGCCATTTAGATGCTTTCAGATTAGAAAACTTTTTTTTGTGTCCAGTTGCTGTACATTCCTGTGCACTTAGAACGTGTGCTTATTAATGTCATGTTTAGCTGATGTGGCAACTGCAGTGGCATCATGCAGGAAGTGAGCTAAACCCATGGTACTATAATGTGGTTAGAACTGAACCCTGGATATAAATATGTTAGCAAAAGATCTCTGCTCTGTGTGTGTGTGTTCATGTTTGTGAAATGTATATCTACATGCATAATACATTATTACAGTCAGGTCTGTTTTCTCCTGCAGGGAGACATAGAGAAAGGGCTGGAGATGAAGAAGCTGGTGCTGTCTGGTTTCCTGGCCAGTGAGGAGATCTACATTAACCAACTGGAGGCCCTGCTGCTGGTGAGACACAAAAAACACACAAAAAAGTTCTCATTTCTGGTTGCAGAGCTGCAGCTTGATGCAGGCTCGTGTGAATTGTCATTATTGGTGGTTGATGGTCATACTGAGAGCAGGACCACAGTCATCGCAGCTTCCTGAAACACTAACCCGACATGCTTCCCCATGCTCAGCCACTATGTCATATCCTGCCGTTGTCAGCCGCACCTTTCACCGACATGCTGTCAGTCAGACATCAACATGAAGTCTCTTCACACAGCAGTTAATATACGAGACCTCCACCGATGAAGCTTCAGTTATCAGTGCAGTAAACACAAGACTGACACCGGCAGAAATCTGGTCCGAGTCTCAGTTCCGTCCATTTCAGGCCTCGGTGACGACACGACAAGTCATTATATGATTCAGCCAATACAGGGTTTGTTCCTGTCGTCCTCCACTTCCTCCGTCGTTTAGAGAAACTCTAAAACACACAGTGTGATCACACTTTTGTTTTTGCTGCTTAGCATTTTTAAACATTTGGCAGGTTTTTGTTTACACTAATAAAAACACAGGCCAGCTGAGGATTTACTGACAAAACTTGTGGTATCTGTCTATGTGAACAAATATGGTAGTCGGCTAAATGTAAAAGGGCGACTGGTGAGGATGTCTTTAAGCTCGTTGCTCCTTGTGCTTGGTGTAATGGCAAACCACAATTAGTTGAAAGGGCAACAAACAAGTCCACTGCAGTAATAATAGTACAAATAATGATAATGATATGACTAGAATCTAATAATAAAGAAATAATAATAGTCATATTGATCATGCTAATAGTAATATTAGTAGCATTATCGATATATTGTTATTTCTAGAGCACCTTTTTACAACTGGATGGATGGATGGATGGATGGATAGATGGATAGATTTTTTTTGTCATTCAATTAGTACATTAAAAGAAATTAAAATGCACATAGAGTTACGAGCACAGGTCACAGACACAATAAAAAAAAAACCCAAAAAACCTACAAGTGGTAAAAGGCAAAGAGGGGAACCTGAATAAATAAAATTAGAAACCATTTTGCACTACGGGCCAAAAAAATAAATTAAAAAATGGAGACAAGAGAGCAACAACAAAGCAATAAAAAGCAACGATCAAACTTTAAAATAATAATTCGTTTGTTAATGCAGACACAAACCTCAGTTTCAAGGCAAAGCACATCACAAAAACTCTTGTTTCCATTTCGTTCACAGGGACTACAAAGTTTGAGGATCTTTTCTTGAATATCACTTCGCTTAGCTGCTCCACCTTTTATTTACAATATCAGTGTCTGCGATGCTGCACACCTTTTGCTGTATTGCGCAGGCAGTTGTTTTTAATCAGCTGTACAACAGTTGTCTTGTTTGTAGAGAAATAAAAGAATCATCTATAATGTAGTGTTTTAGCCAGCGCTGAAGGACAATCACCAGAGCTGAAGTGATAAGAACTGTGAACAAAATACATTTTGAACCAGTGTCGTTAATTGGAGCTTCATTTACTCTGAAATGATAGACATTTTATTAAACAATAACAGGAAAATGCAGCGATTTTCTGTTAAATTTTCTGGACGACCTGGCTTACGTGAAGTAAAAAGACTACAGACAGAGCTGAGTGTAGCAGAGTGTACAGACTCATTGCTTTATTTAATGTGGACTGATCGTGCCCCTCAAAAGCCCATTCACATCCTTTAATGAAAGCGATAACATGGAGGATGAATTCACGAGGGTGACCAGCCTGCGAGTCCATTCATCCGTTTAACACATTTGTTAAATGTGATAAGGAGTTTGCAGTCAACTGCTTCGCCATCACATCCAGACCACGTGTGGGTGTCGGGTGTGCGTCTGCAGTCTTTTTAAACGGAGCCAGCTTGTCTGATGCGCCTTCATGCGACCTCTGCGATCGGTGTGGGACTGACTCATCATTAGCACGAGAGAACTGACGCGAGAGCTTTTGTTTTCACTGTAGTGCCTTCTTCCCCACCCCCGCCCGCCATGACCACTCCACACATCTCTGTGATTAACTGAGTGCAATCTTCCTGGTCAGAGGCATCACCAGCGGAGGAGAGAGTCACCCAATTGCAGAGCAAAGTGGACGAGATTACATGTTTATTACTGGGTGACACTGAAACTTTTCTTCTTTCAGGCAAAGGCCCAATGAGGCCACTGATGAGCGCATTAACCGCACCAACTTATTCTCACATCCTGCTCTGAAATTAGACTTGACTTCATCCCGTTTTATGTAGATTTATACGCCTCACTGTACAGATAAATGATTAATTTTGAGAACACACTTGACACCCCGCTCACCAGCATTCTCTGAACCTGCCTCTGTCTCTTTCCCATCCAGCCCATGCGGCCCCTGAAAGCCACGGCCACGACCTCCCAGCCCGTCCTGACCATCCAGCAGATAGAGACCATCTTCTACAAAATCCAGGACATCTTCGAGATCCACAAGGAGTTCTACGACGCCCTCTTACCCAGCATCCAGCAGTGGGACGAGAAGGTTACTGTGGGGCATTTGTTCCAGAAGCTGGTGAGTCTGACGTGGGAGCAGAAATAACAGTGTGTGGGCCATTTTTTCCCCTCTCCATCATTTGCTGGCAGGGTGTACATGTAAATGGCTGTTAAAAGGGGAATTGTCAGGCTTCTCGCTGTTTGTACTTGTACTAAATTAGACCTTGTGTGCGTAAGTGACTGTGTGCGCCTCGGTGTCAGCGGCCTGAGTGCATTAGCAGATATTTTGCAGCCTCTGGTCTGACATATTTGCACTGGATTATGGTGCTTAAACAGGTGCTCTCAGTACATAATGTGACAGCATCATTGTTATGAGTCCGCATGTAGAATCAGATCATCCAGATCAGGACGCCGTCAGATTTGCGGTGGATAATGTAATTTGTAAGACACCGTGCGTGCGGCATTCTGTGGATAGGCTGATGCAACATGCTGTAACAGAGCCTTTCAACTGAGATGGAAGAAACTGGACTTACAGGAGGAAAATTAAATAGTTGGATAGAAATTTCATTACAGGGTAATCCCTATTTAGTGCGTAAAATCCAGAGGCAGTCGTCAGTAAAAATGAACTTCGCCGGCCAGTTTAAACAGTTTTAATGTCATTTGGTGCGGCGGGCGGCCGTGTAGCCGGTGTGATTTACATAAATACGAAATAAAATGTGAAATAAAAACGACGGCACACTGCGTCCTCTCAGTTCACCCTGAGTACGTCCCTCTGTGGGCAGCCAGGCGCTTACAGAATATTGTGGTTTATAATTTTCCTGGAGTGGAAACAAATTCTCCCGTTAGAAAAGCGGCAGTGAGCTGTCCTGAGTTTCTTCCACCTGATGGTCGCGACAGAGTTTCGCTCTGAAGTTGGCAGCGTCACACTACAACAGCAGATGGCTCAAAGACAGAGACCAAAACTGTGTGGATTTTTTTTTCCATCCTGCTCTTGGAGTTGCCGTGACTGGGAGATTTAAGTCATTGTTTTGTGGATTCTGAAACTGAATGGAAGAATAGTTCAGATAAACTTTGTATTACCGACGAGTGTCATTCCACAGCAACTTATATTGTATAGCTGCCTTATATGAATGATTAGTAATTGAGCTGATTTAAAAGCATTCCCTATTCTGCTGTTATAAACTTTTATACTATTATTTATGTATATTTAAACTAGGCGTTGACTCATGAGGGTTTTTCAGTGTATAGTGTATAATGCTGTTATTATGTTGTGCACTTAACAGCATTTCTTAGCAGATAGCATCACCTCCTCCTACTGGTGTGCTGAACATGTTGTTGTTGTTGCAGTAAACATATCTATTCCTGTTGCTGTTTACAGACTTATCTTCACTCATCTAGTAACACGTGATCTCTCTGTGGAGCGTTAAGTTTGTAACATGAAGTCTGTTCCCTCGCTTTGTGAGCTAGTTATCAGATTGTGCCGTCAAAAGGGGCGTTAATGACCCTAAATAATCGACAGATCGATTAGTTGGTCTCTCACTATTTTTAACTGCTTCTTTTTTGAAAGACAGCTTTTAAAATGTCCAAAGAAAGAAGCCCTTTGAGAATCTTGTCTCCCGTTAAGCTTCCATCATGTTTCTGGATCTCAGAAGACTTATTCTCGCTAATCGGATGCAAGATAATCAGATGTCCCATTATTAGAAGATCCTGTGATACTTTGCCAGCCCGTGAGCACATTGTTGTTTTGACTAGAGGACAAGACAAAGTGTTGTGCCAGCTCAGCCAAGACTTTGGCATCTATTTTAGTCTTTCAAAAGGAGAACTGACTGTATGAAGTAGTAAAATATTTCTGGCTCCTCTGGCCTCTGATTCAGTGTCTGTTTCTGTGGGTTGGCGGCTTTGATTTGGAACCGGAAATATTTTTAAAGTGCAACAGATTTAAAAAGGGAGTTCGTGTCAGAGCAGTGGATGAGATGTTAGACTTTTTTTTTTAAAGCGCACAATAGATTCTTGTTATCAACTTGAAGCTTGTGGCTATATCTGTCTCTCCTATGTTATCATTAGGTGGAATGTAAAGGTACATTTACAAACATATGTTGTTCACACAGCAGTGACTCAACTGCAGCTTCTCACCAGCCTTACATCACAGTGCTGCAAGAATAATTGAGTCAGTTTCATGGTGTCATAATGAGGAACCTGGTTAGTTTATGATGTGAAACGGGCCTCTCTGCCGTATTGATGTCATCGTTCAGTTTTAGCTCACATTTAGGTGTATTAGAGCATTATATCACCAGGGTTATAATTAGCAGCAACCCACTACTACTTCTTTGAAGGTTACAGCTTTCTGTTCCTTCAGTGAACAACAGAGAACAATAATAAAAACTCTGGATATATATATAACAAGTCATGCATGTATGTAGGACTTTGGAGATTCTCCAGAACTGAACTTCAGCTCAGCAGAAAGACAGCTGCCTCTTGGATCCGTGTTAGTCAGCACATAGCTGCCACGGAAAGACGAAACAGATGAGCTGGATTGTCAAAAGTACTGATTTCCCAGCACAGTCCCAGCACCACAGAAATGTCAAGCACTTCACAAGTATTGTTTTGCTCTGTGTACTGCAAGGTAGGTACTGCATCAGGAAATTTCAGATCATTCCCACCTTTTAATTAATTGCTGTTTCTCTACAGGTATATCCATGTGATTGTTTCACTTCAAAGTTAAAGAGCCATATTATGCTTGTTGGGTTTTCTGTGAATGTAAAAGTGCTGCTAACTTACAAAGTCCACACCGATGGGATTCATTCTGTCCCACTAAAAACACTGATTCCTGCCCTGTCTGAACTCCAGGCTTTTCTTCGTCTACATCATCTTGTAACACATTTGCGTAACACCTGCCTAGCTTGTTTGCAAACTGCTTAGTTTTTCTCCATTATTTCCTGTTTAGACCCACTTCTGCCAGGGCTACATTCTTAAACTCCAAGACCTTAGCTTATGAGGCATAACCAGTGCTGCCTTCGCTGGGTCAGCTGACCAATCAGAGCAGGTTTTAAGGAAGGGAGCCATAAGGAGACATGAGCTAAAACAGAACGTTTCAATTAGAGGGTAATAAGAGGTGTTAGAGCAATTCATAGTATAGAGAAAAATAATATCCACATATTTTCGTAGACCTATAAATGTGCATGATTGGCCCTTTAAACTTTGTGTCGACAACCAGTTTGATAAACGTTTTATTTATAAAGGATTCTATTGAACAGTCAAACTGTGAAACGTGAGTAACGCTGACAGACTGATGGGCAGTGCTCCATGGGCTTATGTTTAGCAGCGGAGCAAATGAACACAGCTCTTATATAGAAATGTGATCTCTTAGTAGTTTAAACACTTCCCTCAGCAACCCTCCTCCTCTCTGCGGCCCGTCGGAGTCACAGCACCAAGTGACACCTATTAGTGTAGTCATCAGCTCCCATCTGTGCTGCGTATATGTGCGTACATGAGCGTGTCATGTGGCAGCAAAACATTTAGTCAGAGTGGCCGTGTGAGAGTACAGATGGCAGTGTAATTAGCTGGTCTACTCCCCACTGCTCCTCATCAGCAGCACGGAGGCCACTAGAGCAACACGGGGGGACAGAGTTATACAAGACGGGCAGAAAGGGGGGGAAAGAAGCCAGACACAGATCCAAGTTTTCTCACCTTCCTCCGTCAAGAAGGAGGGCTCAGCTGCAGCCTGTGACTGCCAAGATTGGTTTTGTCCAAGCAAATTATTTAGGTCCCTGGAGGCATAAAGTGGGAAGAGTGTAAACTTGGTGTGGTTCTAAGTGGGCGTTCGGACCCATAAAAACACTTTTCACACACATTTTTTTAAACATGCCTGCATCTTTTGACGCTTATTATGACCACATGATTACCTTTTTAGCTGTGCTGGTGGCGAGGCTCTGTGGATCGCTGTGTTGCTCAGTCAGACCACCCAAACTTTGGTACCGGCTGAGATGTCAAGAAAGAAACCGTTGCATAGATCATCATTTGCAAGGTTTTGCACAGAAAGTCGGGGTCCCAAGGGGATGAAGCCAAAACTTAGTCATGCATTTTTTATATTACACTCGGTATAAACTGTGAAAACTTTGGAGATGCCTTCGGTTCATAAGCTTGCAAGACTAACAACGTTGTCATCGCCTTCAATTGTATTTTATGTATTGCGCTAATTAGCAAATGTTTAGTTAATGAGCTAAGATAGCGAACATGATGAACATTGTACAGCTTTAGATCAGTATTTTAGCGTGTGAGAATGCTGATATTAATGCCTAAGTACAGACTTGTAGAGCTACTAGAAAGGCTGCAGACTCTTTAATTCTTAATCTTGGGACCCAATGTTCTGCTGTTTTAAACTTGTTACGAGGTTATTGTATTTTATTCTGAGTACAACTGTGAGAAGTCGGACTGTTCTGTCATGAGAGAGAGAAATCTCTCTTTGAAATTCAGATTTATGTCTATATTATGCTGCGGCTGCTCAGAGACGCCAGTGGTTGGACCATTTTAAAGGGAGTATTGTGGTGGAATCTCATTAGTCTGATTGCACTCTGCACTGAGTGGTCACATGTGCACGGCCGACTGAAGCTTCAGTGTTAAAGATCAAGCTGGAACCATGTATTCCAGCAATAGGAGGAACTTTGGCCTGTTAGACAAAACAGATAAAGCTGCACATAGAGATGTATTGTTTGACTGTAAGCTGTCATTTAACTCTACAAGTCAGGAAGCTGTAGTCAAGCATGTGTAGTATGGTGGTGAATTGGTAAATATCTGTCAAGCTGATGGGATATGTTTGTTTGATTACTGGAATATATTATTTGAAGTCCTTCTTTTATTACATCCTTCCATTCTCGGGGGCAGTCGTGCATCATCAGGGTGTAGACAGACTGTGTTATTTGTGCTCAGAGGAAAACAATTGAACTATTTGGTTCCTTGGATAAACTTACTTTGGTTTTCTTAGCGATACTTTCTCAAGATTTATTGCTGTGTTTGTCTTTGCTGTTTCTAGCTGAGCATAATCATATAAACTGTGCTTAAAAAGAGAGAGAGGTCCTCCAAAGTAAATGTAAAACAGAGCTCAGACAATGTGTTTTGTGTTTCACTCAGAGCTGCATGCAAAATAAATCGTTAGAAACGGTTTGTATTCCAGACGTCTGCTGTCCAACACGTCAGCGAGCATTTAAATGATCCACAGGCAGCTACACAGAGACTATTTCTAGATTTTCTTTGCCTCTCATGCCTCTCCTTCCCACCTCGGCTCTCAAACACAAGCTGCCACCTGCCGCTTTGACCTGTGATCGTGAGGTTTGGATTGCAGGCACTTTGTTTGGAGGGTTGCTCGAAGTCACGGAGCTTTCATATCAGTCACAGTGTGTCCAGGCAACATGATGAACTGATGAAATATCATAACGTCATTCTGCTTGTTTCTTTTCTTTCTTTTTTTTTTACTTTCCAGCCAGGCTGCCAAATCTCTATTTTTGGAAATTCAGTGATCACACATGTTTCTCCCTCCTTTCAAAGTTGAGATTTGACAGTGAAGTCTCCTCCTATTACGACGAGATGATGTACAGATGGTCACACTTGTTTGACTGACCTCTAGTCTGTCTGAGTCATTATGCCACGTTTCTGTCTGAAATGACTTTTTGTTTCACATTCTGTAACATCTGTTCCTACCTGAGAGTACGCTGATCTACCAGGTCTTTTACATAACATATGAGGCTGGATGATTCCCTCATGTCTCCTCTCTCGAGCCCAACTTTCCACTTCACACTCTGAGGGGAAGGGGAAGGAGAGGAAATGAAAATAGGAGGAGTTTAAGGACAAAAGTAGCAAGCCCTCTTCATTCACTCTATTCAGCTGAATCCAATCTCATTGCTTTAATAGGACGCAGTCAGCTCTTCAGCCTAAGCATTCAAGCATCGCTGTAGCAGGATGCATATTCATGCACTGCTGGTCTGCAGCTTGTGTTACAATGCACATACAGTGCTGCAGAGAGGGGTTGTTAATGAAAAGGAAGAGGAAAGGGAAAGAGAGTCACTCTATTTCAATCAGGAGGACTGCACCGAGCCACCAGTGGAGTCGTATTATGGGAATGTGATTAGACTGTGTGTGTGTGTGTGTGTGTGTGTTTTCAAGCCTCCACTTCAGGCAAAATTCTAATGAGAATTGAAATTAATTTATCTGCCAGAGCGGTATATGAATTTTAATTAAATTGTGTGGCGTGCAAGCGATAACTGAAGGTGAATGCAAATTGTACTTGCTGCGCGGTACTTTAATACACTACCATGACATACGTGTGTTGTAGTAGCACATGTATGAGGCGGTAAACCAGGTGGTCACTGGGTCTCGAGTGTTTATCCACTAAATCAGACCACTGTTATAGTCTCCATTTCTCTCACATCTTCTTGTCTCTCCTGTCACCCTAATGCCTTCTGTTCTGCCTTCAGGCCAGCCAGCTGGGAGTGTACAAGGCCTTTGTGGACAACTACAAAGTTGCGCTGGAGACGGCGGAGAAATGCAGCCAAGCCAACAGCCAGTTCCAGAAGATATCTGAGGTGAGTTCATGCTCCAGGATACAGAGGCTCGAGAAACACTAGTGGATACGAAGCATTCATTAGATTCCGTGCGGTGTGCTGTGTTATAACATTAACATGCATTGAACCTCTTTAGTCTCAAGTGTCTTAAACCATCATGCTAATCCTCTTCAAAAAAGAGAAGAATTGAACAAATGCATGGCAGCGTAGAGGAGAAGCAGGGCAAGTCAAAACATCCTCATTTTGACAGGAAGCAGCAGTGTTTGTGGGAGATGTGGTCTTATTTTGAGGAACGCTGGGAAAACACAGTTATTTGTGTTAAAATATGCTGAAGTCAGCATCTGTAAGCTGTTGTTAGTGTACTACTGAAACGATTCACGCTGGAAGCTCTGGACTACTGTAGGTTTACTGTAAAGCACATGGTGGATATATTTAGTGTGTAGAGACAGTGTGGAGGAGGGTTGCTCTGGGGTGACAAAACCATCCTGATTGCAGTGAAGGTGTTATAAATGTTAATTAACTGCCAGTCTGAGACAGAAGTGACTAATAATGTCAAACACACTCTCACTGCCCTTGTTTTCATGCCTGTTTTGTTCCAGGTTGCACAACTAAAATTTGCACAAGATGTAATTTGAGTGTCGGTAAATGTACCTGGAACAAAAAGAAAAAAAGATTTACTACGGTGATGGAAACTGCTTTGAGAATTTCTGAATTAGTCACCTTAAATCTATCAGAAATACTTACGATGCAATCAGGGATGCACGATATATCGGCGACCACATCGGTATCGGTCGATATTAGTGTTTTTTTCCGATATATCAGCATCGGTCCAATGAGCAAATTTAACCGATGATTGTCTAACATTAGCGCCCTCGTCTCTACATTTGATATTGCTGCTGTTTCACAAACGTTAAATATGTTAAAATATGTTTTCTTTTGTTGCATAATAAAGAAGACTATGTGGTCTAACTTGGCATAGGTTCTTTTGAGTAGTTTTCACGTTCTCACAGTGCTTACTTATACTCAGTTTTCGATGTGAACAAAAGTTAAATATCGACATCGGTAATATCGGTTATCGGCGATATCAGAAATCTTAATATCGGTATCGGCCAGACATTTTAATATCGTGCATCACTAGATAGAATATAATGCAATATAATCTTCTTTAATGTCCCCTTAGGGAGATTTTTCTTGGACTGGCTTCGCTACATTAACATACGTTTTACATACAGAGTACATAGACGTCTGACAGTCACATTTAATGCCATTCTAGCGAGCAGGAGGAACAGGATGTGGAGGTGCTTCTGCTCCTCAGACTGTGTTGTAGCTTCACACAGCTACGTGATATGAGCTGCTGCTGTTTGATGGACAACTTTGATGGACTGTTTTTTTCTTTTTATGAGCCAGGATATCTACGTCTTTGATTCCACAGTAGCTTGTTAGTGTACTGTGCTTGCGGTGAAGTCGAGATAGTTCTGAATAAACTGTCAGATGATATCTGGAACTTTGAAATAACGTCTGCTTGCTATTGATTTCAGACCTTTTTTTTTTTAAATACCTTTTGTGCTTTAACCACATAATGCAGAGAGGTACTCAGAGGCTTTTCTGATGATGAATATACTGCACCTCGAACCAAAAATAGATGCAAAAACTTATACTACAATGATGGAAATGTATAAATTAGCTACTTTAAAATGAAACACTTACAATACAATACAGTACAATAAGATACAATATGATATGACATTCTTTATTGTCCCTATAGGGAACTCTTTCTTGGGCTAGTGTTGCTGCATATAACACATTTTACATAAATATGTGATGGTCAGCTAGTGTCACACATTCAAGTGTCATTAGAAGAATCTTTAACAGCATATTCAGGTTAACAACATACTGCACAAATTAATATTGCACACTTAAAATATTACACGAGTTATAACAAATTGCACGACTGAACGCATTCTCGTAGTTTAAGCATGAGTTCCTTGAAGACGTTCCACCTCTCATCCAAGAGGCTCCATCAGTTCTGACTGACTAGTTGGGAGTTCCAGATATCCTTAATGAGACATGAACACTTTTCGGTTTCAATTGGGGGTTTGTTACTCCTCCCCCTCGTTATGTGAGTCGTTAGTAACCCCCAATTGACATCGAAACTCAAGTATTAATGTCTCCTTAAGGATATAAGTATCTGGAACTCCCAACTAGTCAGTCAGAGCTGATGAAGCCTCTTGGATGAGAGGTCTTCAAGGAACTCAAGCAAGTCCAGTTGCTACGATTAAACTACGAGGACAACCACGACCTGGATGACTGAGAATCTTCACAGACATGACTGAAAGCAACACGTCGCCTGACTTAGAGCTGTCCATCCAAACAAAGTCCCTCTCAGGCTCAAACTGTGACCTCTCTGTTTAGCATTTTAATAGAAGAAGGCGCACATGAGTTTTTAAAAGTCACCTTTCATTTCCAAGTGCAAAACTCTCCATTACCTGTTGTGATTGAGGCATTTCTGGTTGGGTTTCCTTGGAGATAAACTTGTGAAGTTTGGCTCCTTTCGCTGTCCCAGTCTGCTGCAGTGATCCTATACTTCTTCATTAGTTCAACCAGGCTCAGCCAAGCGAGCGCGAAACAGTGTGTGTGTGTGTGTTTGTGTGTATGTGTGTGTAATTAATTAAATTGATCAGTCCACTCTGTCTCTTTCAGAACCTCAAAGTAAAAGGGCCTAAAGACTCCAAAGAATGTACCACCACTATTTCAATGGAGGGTAAGTTTGCGGGTTCATGTGTGTCCATGTGTGTGTCTGTGCTGGCTTGCTGCTTTAAGAATCCAGTCCTTCCCTTTCTACTTGTGTATGCAGCGGTGGGCTTCGGGAGGCAAACGAGTGCATGTGTGAGCTGCTCTCTCTCTCTCTCTCACACACACACACACACTCGATCTTGCTCTATCTGTTTCTCTCTCTCTCTCGCTGTCTATGCCTGAGAAAGGAGGCAGTGAGCAGGAGAGCAGAGTCAGGAGAGGAGAAGAGGGATATGGAGGTGCTTCTGGTCCTCAGACTGTGTTGTAACTGCACATACGGTAACGACTGCATGATGTGAGCTGCCGCTGCTTGATGTAGACAACTTGGACCGTTGTTTTTCTCGTTTTTGGGGGGTGTTTTTTTTCTCTTTTGAGCCAGGATGTCTTTGATTCTACAGCAGATTCTGTGTTTGCGGTGAAGTTGGGACAGTTATTAATGAGCTGTCAGGTTGATAGGAGGACCTTTGTGCTCATGATTTACAAATGCTGTCTGCTTGCTGATGATTTCAGACTTTTTTCTGTACAGTTACTTGCTGTAATGAGATGATAAAATTAGCTTTTTTTACAAGCATGAGAGCTTTTGTGTTGTTGCCGAGTGATGATCTTGTAGAATTTGGTGTTCACAACTCTCTTGCAACATACAGCATCTTCCATGTGTGCGTTTGTTTAAAAGCAGAGCACGTTTCCACTGACGTTTAGTCAGCATAAGGACTGCTGGCCCCAGGCTGCTCCTCACAGAGAATACTTACCACCAGAGGATCGGAACAAGTCTGATGTGTGTGTACGTGAGCTGGTACATGCCTGCGCTCTGCTGGTGCCTGGCAAACTGTTTCGGGGATTGTGTTCGGCTAAACCACCTCGTGTTGAGAGAGAAATGTTGTGTGCCGGCGTCCAAATCGGGCTATGATGAGCACATGTAATGAGTAAACGGTGTGGCTTTGTCAGGCTGAGAGGAGCTGAGTGAGCGTTCATATGTGTGTCAGTTTTCAGCGGCGTGTACCTGTGAAGTGTCTGTTAATTTATGCATCGTAAATGAACGGGACTCAACCTGTCTTTGTTGTTTTAATTCACTTCTACTCCCATCTATTCTGCTGACACTACAACGTATTATTCTGGATGAATTTTGTTTGCTTTAGCGAAGATTTACAAGGTTGCTAAGTAGTATATAGTTCCATATTCCCTCAACAATCAGGGTTTGTCAGCCCCCCAAGGCAGTCGCTTTGATTACTGCTTGTATTATACCTGTAGTTCCTTAATTACCTGGCAGTGCAGTTGAGGGATTTCTCTACCTCAGCTCTGAAGCTACAGCTTCCTCTCCCTCCATATTTCTTTTATGATGCTACCTGCCATTAATTTTCTGACTTTCCACATAATTTAACTGGATCCGAGCCAAATGAACTGACGTGTGCAGTTTCTTAACTAAAACAAGTCACTTTGTCAGGCTTGTTTACACATAATGAAGCTCACAGTTTCATCTCCTCCTAATGAACGGATGCAAACAGAAACACAAGTCTTAAATCAAACAAGCATCTGACATCGTGTTTTACATGTAAATGGGGACTCCTGCTCCGCATCGCTACCGATTCTCTCTATTCCCTAATCCTTAAATGCCCTATCCCTATCTGTCATTCTGCCTTCTTTATTTTGCCTCTCCTATCAGACTTGTTCTGTCCTTCTCGTCCTCCTTCACGGCTCATGCCTGGCGTTGGTCGCCGAACGTCTTGCCAAATGCTGCGTGCTGAAAGCTGGCAGTCCCCGTCTTCTAACTGTAGACCCGAAGCCATGTACGTGTGGAGCCTTTTCAAAGTCTTTGCCCACATGGTGTTGCCCCTCGTTAGCAAAGATGAACCGTCTGTCCGTCAGCCAAGTCATCAAGGCGACCTTGAGAACGGGACCAATCAGAGGCACCTCGCTGTGACAGGGCATCGACTTCCAATAATCCTCCTCTTTCTATCTGATTCTCTCTCTCTTTGTGTCTTCACATCCTCCCTCTCCAGACTCTTGATTAGACTTTGAACTTTATTTCTCTCTTCTTTTTTTTCTTTTTTAGATTCTGCCCCTCTTTGGAAAAAACGCACAATTAGGATACTCTGAAAGTGATGACGCAGTTATCTTGCATGAGGACAGACACTGAGTGAATTTTGTATTTTACTTTTTTTTTTCATTTGATAGGGAAGATGCAGTTTAATTTAGTTCCTCTTGTTGCTAGTGGTTTTTAAACATTGTCATCGAAATATTCAGCTTTCATTCTCACAAAGCCACAGGACACTACAAACATGAAAGTACAATGACAACATTCACAACTAAGTGGGGGAAAGTAAACAAAATGTCATACTCAGGATACAATGCTTTTGCGCAACCAGATTATTCATATGTCATATATAATTAAAATGTTTTGTGTGGAAGGAGAGGAGAACAAAATGGGAAAGAGAAAAAGAAGAGAATGTTTTACATCTCTGAACTTCCCTTATAGGTTCAAAACAGTTAAAGCCAGGGTAGGCAGGGTTTGTTTGTGCGACACTGGGTTAAAACTCCATGTGAACGTTTCAGTATATAGTGATTCAAGTGGTCTGAGAGGAAATTAGACCTCTGCACCTTCTGTTGACTCCATTTGTAGGCTTTAGAAAATCTAGACTGTGAAGAGAGACTTCAGCCAATCACAGGGCTTGTCACACAGATGAGGTATGAAGAGCTACAACGTCCAAGCTGGACATAGAATGTGGTAGCACAAGAGGGTAAACAGAGAACTTTTACTCAGGAATAAGGGATTAAATTCCATTTAAAGCCATAAGTACATGTTGGCTAGTTTTGATTGTTTGAAGTGCAGGAATGCAGCCATTCTTATCTGATAGGACAGAGATCGGGAATAGCTGCAGGATGACTGGTGGGGTTTTCTTGTTTGTTTGTCTTTTCCACATGTCTGCCCGCTGCAGCTTTAAGAATGACCCAAGCTAGAATATTAATGTTCTTAAAAGTCCTAAAACTTCCTATAAAGTTCACTTCATTTGGCTTGGATTCCTATAAAGGTTAACATAATGGTTGCTTTTGTGACCTTTTCCAGACTGAGATACTTTCATAAGTAGCTCGATGGTTTGCTTTGACACATTCTTGGTTATCAGCAGATAAATACGATCTCTTGACTTTTCATCTAGCACCAACATGATGTCAAAATGTGTCCAGGATATTGTGTTTATGACCACATACATGCAAATCTAATCATCCTAATCATCCTCGGTTGTTTTTGCCTGAGGTGAAGCCAGACAGTTTATATGTGTGGCCAGGTTTAGGCCATTACTCGTACTGGGGTGGCACAATGCTGTGAATTTTTTAATTATCCATATTTTTATTTTCTGCATGGCAAACTACTGTAGGCCAAATATTAGTTTTTGTTGGTCAGGTAAGACTGACTTTTAGACTTACATGCAAACTCATATTTAATTGTTCAGCAGTTGTCTTTACAAGAGCTACAACTCACTTTTAAATCACATCAATAAGAAGTATTTGAGCTGCTAGAAAATCAGTGTAAGCATTTTCTGGTAGCTCAGTTCTACTTGGTTGCATGGAGGTGTTTATGCTGTTACAATGCATCTGTGTGGGGACCGCAGACGTTAAGAGGAATGATTTTACAAACATGTTCTGCAGAAAAAATACAAGATACTTGATATGACTCCAGTTCTATAAGCAGGCTTGTAGTCCTCTAACGTGCGTCACTACTGTTTGACTTTATTCTGTAGTCCCCCCCTTTGCCTCCACTCCCGTTCTTTTGTGCAACTAATGCTAGCGTGCTTACATGCTAATTATTAGACCTACCCAACACCAGCATGCAATTATTGTCACTGTGAACGTGCTATTCTTAGCTTTGAGCTCACAGTATCACTGTGCCAAATTGCAGCCTCACAGAGCATCCAGCAGATCAGACGATCAATACAACTGATGTATGTTTAACAGCTAACGTAATGACAGCTGAAGTACTTACATGTACTGTGCAAACATCTGGTACTGGTGTTGTACCCAAGGTAACCTAAAGTCACCTAATCCTCCCTGAAGCACCTGTACTTGAGGTGAATACAAACCTGCACACACACACACATAATTAGATGCTCACTGCCCTTGCAGTCAGTGCAGGTTCTGTTGTAAATCCTCCGGGTGGTAGCAATATTGGTTCACTGAGCCAGGACCAATGATGGAGGCCGCATTATTAATGACCAGAGGGTGGAGAAACTTCAAAGAGCATCAGCAAGGCCCTCTAGAAGATTCTCTTTGGTCTTATACAGTAGCTGCATGTGTGCATGTATGTATGTTGGAGTCTAGAGAGTGTGTATAAAGTTTAATACGACGAGCCTTATCAGTAGAACTGAACATGTTCCCTGCAGACTTCTGTTCTCTGTCTTTATTTCTTATAGTTTAAGGAGGAGAAAAGTAAGCGCAGAGAGGGAAAGAAGAAGAGAGAGATAACATGTCCTGACTACTGTACAGCTGAAGGGAGCATTGTCGAATGGTTTAAACAGATAAGTGTAACGTTGAAGGGGAAGTGTAGCTGTTCTCTGGGAGCAGAGCGCTGTCTGTCTGGGACGACCTTCCCTGCATACAGAAGGCACATCACTTCACTCTGTTTCACTTGGCTAGCTCTTCATCCCTTTCGGTTTGAAAATCAGTAGCTTTAAGTCTGCTGTTTTCACTTTAACAAATGGAGATTAGCCTGATCGCTGAGTGGAACACAGTCAGCTGGTTTTCTAATGTTTATGCCCTTGTGGACTGTTTTTATGTTTTTTTATTGCATTCTCTCACTTTCTTCTTTAGTACATGTGCGCAGCAACATTATTATACACTTTTTTTTACACTGCATGACATCGGTGGCGTTATTATTTTGAGACCTTGGGACATTTTTGGCATTTCATTACAAGACTGCTGGAACCCAGGTCTGACAGGAAATTCAGGAGGAAAGTCTTCCTCATCTTCCCTCCCCCATTTCATATCTCCCTATATATATGCGTGTTTGCTTCTTTTTCTTCTTACAAGTTCTCACATGTGCCATCTTTCCTGCCGCCTGCCTCCCTGCACATTTTTTTTTTCTCTCTTCCATTTTCTCTCCGTCTTCCTTTCTGCCCTATCTGTGGGAGTTTCTCACCTAAAGCTGTCATGTATGTCAGCTGCTGCTGTTCGCACTACCTCAGCTGCAAAGCCGTCCCCAGGGAAACCAGCCAACTGAGGTGGCGCAGGCTTAAAGGCAAGAACGGTGGCGTGTGGGCACGTGTCAGTCTTACTGCACTTTTTATAGATTCGCCCATCCGTCTGTGTTGTTTGTGTTTGCGTCCATGTGTTTTCAGAGAGACTATCTCCATGCTCGACGTCCAGGCAGGCTGTAGTTTACCTCGCAGCAGCGTCATTATGCTGTGAAACTTTAGAGCCAATACGAGGCTGCAGAATCAACCCTAGAGATGGACTGCATATTAAGCAGACTGCTGTGTGCATACCCATGTGTGTGTGTGTGTGTGTCCTTTCAGTAACAAAAGCAGCATTGCCGTTTCTCCAATCTATAAGACAAAACAGACACGTATAAATAACTATAATATGATCCTCTCTTGACTCCCCACATGAAAACGGTCTTTTTTATGTTGTCCCCTCCAGAGTTCAGGATCAGCAGCCAAGAAAAAAAATCTGCAGTGTGGATGCTTGTTGTCATTAGGCTGAATTTCAACCTAAGAATCACCATCAGTCAGACAATAAGTGCCGTGTTGAACTCTGTGTGAGCTGAGTGGGAGTGTTTGTCCTCGTTCAAGCGGAGGAACTGTAACCTGGTGTGTGCAGCTGCTTCGGTTGACTTGTATGTAAGTAACGGTGACTCACAGCCCTCCTCTTTTCTCCCCCACAGCTCTCCTCTACAAGCCGATTGACCGCGTCACCAGAAGCACCCTGGTCCTTCATGTGAGTACACAGCTTACGCTAACATTGCTTTAAAGGATCAGTTCACCAAAATGACAGGAAACAGGGTCATTGACGAGGGAGCAGAATCGTAGAAATGTGTTCTTTTAAATTTTAATCCGTCCACTTCCATTGTATTGAAGGACATTTCTGAGACATCTTAAGATGGCAAACATGTGGTGTGATCAAAAAAGGTCTATAAAAATCCCCCAAACCGTACCTGATTTAAATTCCCACTGAAGCATTCTCCTTGTGCAGCGGTACAAAGCGCCCAGTGCTCTTGAAATGCTTGTAATGCTCCCTGGAAATCCTGTCATGTAAACATGTCATGTAAACACGTCAAGCACCGCCTCTCGTCACAACGATTCTCATCATGAGGGTTGGATCATAGCGACTGCTGTCTCAGCCAGAATGGGATGTCTGATGCAGTTTAAAGCGTACGGAGAAACTGGAAATATCACAGACACACGTATAACACAGGTCCCATGGTTGATAGCGCACTGTCAAACGGTCTCTTGACTCTTGACAGCAAGGTTTGAACAATACTCCCTTGTGGATGAGCACATGGACATCCGTGTACACCACAGACATGTAGTTGTTGTTATTATGCTACCTTCTGCTCAGCCTCATGCATGTGTAGTAGATTGACACTGATGGATAACACCTGCACACTACTGCCCTTATAACGTTATCACCGCTCAGACTCTCTGTGCAGACACAAATTTTGGCTGCAGGGTCGTTTCACACGGACTCTCACAGACTTGGGTACACGACGAAATTTACAACATGTAAACTTGAGCAAACTCTCATGTACTCAAGGACGCATACCGTCCTCAGTGCTTACACATGTTGCATCACAACTTTCCCTAGAAAACTGCCAGAACTTTTTTTGATCGCATCACATATATCAGTGAACAAATTACACCGCAGACCCTTTACTTGACAGCAGAAATCTGACTCGCTCATATATCTTACTGTATGTCTTGGTTAGCTGCTCCACATATGAGATGCTGAAACATCAGGGCATGTTTTTCATTGTTTACCACACTGTCTTCCCAGCCTATATAAGCCGGCAAGCACCTCTTTGGATGAGTAATAATAAAGTGGAAACTGCCAGTCAAGCAGGCAGAGATGCCTGGATGTGTCTAGTTAGGTTATGGGAGTGTATTGCATGAATAAGTTTGCATAAATCTGTCAGAAGAACAACATGCTGAGTGCATCCGAGGCTTGTGTGTGTGTGTGTGTGTCTTCTAACAAAGGTCATGTTCCTGTCAAAGCAAAGGAAATTGGTGGTATTAATTTTGGAGAGAAGACTGTCGTCAGGCGCCCTGTTCATCACCCTGCAATACTGATAAAAGCAACTTCATCGAAAACAAGGAAATGAGATTTTCTCAGATTGCTCCGGTGTTCGATAAGAACGCTGTGTTTGTGCAGTGCAATTATGCCTTTAATAAGAAGGTATAATTACATCAGAAACTCTGCTTATGCTTGGACGGGTTTTCCTTAGAAAGTGAGAATTGAATCCCAGCGGTAAACAGAGGAGGGTTAAAATGACTTTCCAGCTGGAGACATTTTTTTGATGATTGTATTAATAATTGGCCATTTCTGTGTTTGCGCAGGACTTGCTGAAACACACTCCCAAGGACCACCCGGACTTCCCCCTCCTGCAGGATGCTCTGCGGATATCTCAGAACTTCCTCTCCTCCATCAATGAGGAGATTGATCCTCGCAGGACCGCTGTCACTACACCCAAGGGAGAGGTGTGTGTGTGTGATCGTTGTGTACAATTACAGTGTACTTGGATTGCCTCCTCTCCAAATGAGTGAAGTTACAACTTTTTAATCACCTTCTAGTAACTAAATAGGATCCACATACAGCGATGAATATAACAGCAGTAGACTCGTCGTGTTCGTTGTCCTTACCCAGGACTCTCTGAACTTTCCTGTTTAGCTGGTCACAGCAAAAAGTAGAGCCTAATGAATTGATAATATACTCTGACTTTGAAGTTAGACGCCGTTGGGTGCAAGGACTCTGAATAAAGGCAAAAACTCAGCATATAGGAAGGTAGTTAATAAGTGTTGCACTCTGTGTGCTCCTTTTGACGGAGCGCCGTTCTGTTCACATGTTCGTGTCCTCTGCCCGTCATCTCTTTACTTTTCCTGGAACGTGACACTGACTGGGTTCAAACTGCTGCCACAAGTGGCCTAAACCTGATTTATTTGCTCATATGTGACTCAGATCAGATTTTTTTATAGTGGATTGAAGAGTGCAAATAACAATTCAGATTTGTGCTTAGTTGTTTGTTCTATGATGACATGAAAATGAATTTTAAATATACTTTCTCTAATGTGCCTTGGCCAGTAAGAAAAATGATAAAAACATGTCCCGAACCCACAAAAGTATTCAGCATGTTTTGGTGTCATTTCAGTTGTCCCATTGGTGTTTATACCATTTCCAGCCCTTGCAGCTTCTCGCATTTAATCACTTCTTATTTATCTTATTATCATTTTGGAAGTCATGTGACTCGCATCACTCTGAAGTCAGTCAGGCACGATGGAGGTAGTAAGTGGTGGAATCATTTCATAAGGATTTGTGGTGACACAACTTTTGATGTCGTCAACGTTCACTTGTTCACTGTAACCAGTCCAAACTCGAACATGATATTAGCTACATTAAAAAAACAATGTGCCAAGCAACAAAAAGAAGTGAGCAATAAATGGAAACACAGCATACAGGCTTGCATATATTTATTTTTGGAGCACATTTCATATGACAAGAAACGTCTACCGCTCTGACGCTCTCCTCAGTAGAGCCCCTCTTTTGAAAATATATAGATTCTTTTTTTAACTCATTAAAATGTCCATATGGTGTTTTTATATACCAGAAGACACATTATGAGTGCAGTAAGCAGTCAGCACCCTGGCTGAGTAACACCACGATGGGACTGCAGTGGACTGATGACAGTCTCAAAAAGCCACGTTTAGACTTGCAGGGTTTCAATAAGTAAGAAGCCAATCCTGTCAACTTGCAGAGTGAAGCTTTCTGTATCATTGCTCCTCTTCAGAATCAGCATGTATGGCTGACTTTATCCAATATCACGACTTGTCATTGTGTAGTGTAGAGCAGTTTTGCGGTGTTTGAGAAAAGTCATAGAGGAGCTGGTGTGCTCGAGCTGCAGGCTAATGGCAGAGGAATGAGTGCAGAAAGAGGCGTGGAAAAATCTGCATATAATTCATGAAGGTATTGTTTTTACAGAAAAATTTTCAACCTGGAATTTTGATTCGTGCAGATGAGGTTTTGGGGATTTAAACAAGGGTAGGAGAGAGATTTTATGTTTGAAACAAAGGTGTACACAAAACTAGCGAAGAACACAGTCACTAGAAGCTTTTGCAGCCACATTGTGATCATTTTCTTTATCCTTGCATCCAGAATTTGAACACAGCAGGAGTGTTTGTCCAAGTTGATACATTAAAAAAAGAAAAAAAAAAAAGCATTGATCACCTTGAAAACAATGTCTTTCTACCTCACTTTTTTCTCTTATGTCTGCCAAAACTCGACCCCGTTGGACCTGTCTTGAGTCAAGTTGACCAGCTTGGTGTTTTCGCTCTCTTAGGCCCGTCAGCTGGTGAAGGATGGATTTCTGGTGGAGGTGTCAGAAAGCTCCAGGAAGCTACGGCACGTGTTCCTCTTCACTGATCTGCTGCTCTGTGCCAAGATGAAGAAGACAGCTGTAGGGTGAGTCCACTTTTACCTTTTTCCTCTCCACTCTCTGACAGAGTGTGAAACCGTGAGTGTAATTACCGCAGAGTGATCTGAATGCGTGGCTTTAAATATTCGCTCTGTCAGGACTGTCTTCTCCCGGCTGCTGCCTATGTGTTGCTCATTTTGTCATCCACATCAGCGCGCCAATCTCTTGCCTGTGCAACAGAAAGGATGACACCTTACAGAAGTTTCCCTCTCTCTGTCTGATCCTGGCTCCACAAAGAATAAAGGCTCAGTAAAAAAAAACGAGTAGGACTGGCAGGCATGTTGCCTCTGGTGTTTTGACGAGTGAAGGGGAGCAGCAGATATACGTGCTGAACAGCGACTCAGGCTGAAGGTGGTGATCAGAAACATTTGTAAGCATAAGCAGACGAGCATTCTGTGTTTCAAGAGGCAATCTGTTTAAGCTGGAGGCAAAGTAAAGAGGAGCGACAGACACGTTGTGATTCTGTTTGTGTGTGTGTGTGGTGCTAAATCTAAACGCTCGACACATGTCAGGAGATTGTCACTTTTACAGGATTGCGTGTCGCTCGTCTCGTCAGCGCGGCCGCTCCTGTTAGTCTGATTGGATCTTATTTTAGTTGACATTCACCGTTTGTGTCATTTGCAGCCGCCTCTCACTTGGAAGAAACACATCGCGTTGCCATAGCTACCAGACCTGTAAATCAGACTATTATGGGCTGGGCTGTTATCTCAGCATGCCGCCTACAGGCTGCACTCACACACAGAGCAGAGCAACCATCCAGAAACTCAATCACCTTGTGTTAAGTCGCTGAGGATCTATAATCCCTCCTGAATCCTGTCATTATCTCTATTCTATCATTTTGGAATTATTCATATTTACAATGAGTCCCCTGCCACATGTTCCACATCCTGGATGTTTTATCATTTTCTTTATGTATATGCCACCCTTGGTGTTTGCTCCTAAAGGGCGAGGAGATTAGACATGGTAATTTATTCAGAGTCTTCTCAGTCATGTAGCAAACGTAGCCACACCCTTTTGTTTAGTGTGCACTACCTGCGAGGGTGTGTTTAAGTGTGACTAGAACAAAAATGAATGGGTGGTCTGTAGAACAAAGAGATTTCCCGAAAGACCCGCGAGCACCGAGACAAGAAGGGCTTGATAATGGAGTGAGCGGGGGGGAGGGGTCGCCCCGGATCAGGGGACCAGAACCAGCAGAGAGGGAGGGAAATGAATGTACTTAGGTGATGATGAAGAAATGAAAAGCCACTCTCTCATGTGCTGTTACTGTCACTGAAGAAGCTTTGTGTGGGAGCACAGAACTAAAGTACATGTTTTAAAAGTGGGCTTGTTGCTGTTTTTGCTGAACAGAGATGCTCAGTCCCAGTTGCATGATGCATGCAAGGAATGAATATGTGGAAACAGGGCTGTCAAGTCAGATAATCATTACAAGATCGTCATGGCCAAAGGATTTCACAGTAACAACATTATCACAATACGCAGTGATGACAATAATAAATCAAAATAGGAGTATAAGGATGTGGATGTAGTCTGTAACCATACCTGTGTTGGAGTGTCAGCCAGAGAGATGCTGGAATATCTGCAAAGTTGTCACACGTGGATTATTAACATGATATAAATATCTTATTTTTAACATGTCATTGTGATGCTCATATGTTCAATAGTTACATTAGTTTATTGTTTGTTGGCGTCCCCAGTAGTTGACAGAGAATGTGTAATAGGAACAGCTGACCAGAATAGAATAAAATGCTTTATTGTCATCAAACATGGTGCATGACGAAATTTAAGACCACTTTTATGTAATTTTACTTAAATTTATGTTTTTTCAATTTGGAATACACCCATTTCCCTCTGAAGACCCTGCTGTATGGAGTAGTGAGAGTGCCAAATTACAAAACTAAATCAATAAAAACAATAATAAAATAAAAATGGAAATAAAAAGAAGAAATGATAAAATAAAGAATAAATAAATATTAATCAAAAATCAATCCATAAAAGAAAAGGCTAATAAAAGTAGAAATATAAAAACAAATAAATAAAATAACATAAAATATATTTTTTTAAAGTATGTATTTATTTTTTATTATTTTGTTAAAAATATTTTTTTTAATTTTTTATAATCTTTGCTATTTGATCAGAAA